TCAAAGAGTTACAGGGTAAAGGAGTGCCGAAGAAATTCTGATTTGTGACTTGCTTCTGATTCATATGAAGAAGTGATTACGGAGCCGCTCCTAATACAGTCTAATACTGTTGATCTCTTTTGACTTGTGTGCTTCTGTCCACTGTTCTGCACAGGACCCAAGATGCTCAGTCACAGCAGATCTATCAGGAACTCACACAAATAAGGCTTCTGAAACGGGATGAGTAATAATGGAAGAGAAAAATAATATATACTAATTCTGAATCTCAAAGTATTTATTTGCACAGCCAAAGATAAGTACTTCCATATTAATCACTATGCCAACAGTTAAAGTGTTACTAAACCCTGGACCCTGCATTCACTATATCTGGTCTCCCCGGACCCTGCATTCACTATATCTAGTCTCCCCGGACCCTGCATTCACTATATCTGCTCTCCCCGGACCCTGCATTTACTATATCTAGTCTCCCACAGTACACAGAACATGGAAATGCAATCATTTTAGTAAGTATAAACTGCTAAATACCTTTTATCATCAGCAGTAAATAGTGGTCTTGTCACTTCTATCAGTGTCCAGCTGAGCACTGGTTAAAGCTTGTAGGAGGAGCTTTCATTTTGCTCTGATTGTGCTATGAGGCTGCATAACCCTTGACCTACTGTCTGGACAGTGCTGACTGGCCCTGTGCTGATCACATGCACCCTCCCAAAGAAAAAAAAAAACTTTAGCAATACACACAAAACTGAGCATGTGCAGAGCGACTCCTAGAGCGCTGTTCTATCAGTAGATGGATTGGGGATAGTAGAAGAAGGGGAGGATCAGAGAAGACTAGACCAAACAGCCTTTTTACACAATACAGAGGATCAAGCTCTTAAGTTCCACAGTGAGCATAACAAACATGCTTTCCTGCACATACAGACTGATTTTACTGTTGTGGGTTTAGTAACACTTTACGATTTATGTGTTCATGAGACTTCTATAAATACAGAAGCAACTGATTCATTTTAACTTTGTTTTTTTGTGTAAATTCTTTATTTAAAGTTTTAGATAAGTGCACACAAATAATTCAGTAGCATTCAGGGTAGATTGATGCGGTAGAACTATGTTGGGTGGCTATTCCAGTGCAGTCCCACCACAAGACATGGCGAAATGCCTTGTCTCCTACCTTGCCAGTTCACACCACTGCATTGTGATGGTGTGCACTGAAAATAGTACAGCAAGCAGTACTATTTTCAGCACCGCACAGTGCGAGACAATCCACTGCCATGCACCATGTGGTGACCAATAGAACTTTACAAAATGGTAGTGAAATTGGGCAAAAAAAAAAAAAAAAACTTTCTCCTTGTAAAGTAAAGGCATGATGTGCTAGTACCTCCTCTAATTGATCCAGGGCAGGGGAGGACTGACCATTTGGAAACTCGGGCACTGCCCGAGGGCCCGGGGTCAGTAGGGTGCCCCATGAGATGCCCCTGGTACCTTTTTCATAGGCTTTTTTGAGTTTGGGCAAAGACACAGGGGCCCTATGATCCCCTATTGCCCAGGGGCCCCATGAGTTGTCAGTCCGCCCCTGATCCAGGGAATATCCAATTGCCTCTCGAGGGATCAGGAAGGAATTTTTGCAAATGTGTTGCAAATAACCTGTCTCAGTACTGCACTTCCAATTTGAATCAGGCAGTGAAGAATAGAACTGATGAAGGTGAGTCGGGTTAACTCTTTATATCCTGTTCCTTGATAATTGCTACTAATTGAGGAACAAGAAAAATCTAAGGAGACAATGGTCAATCCTGATGTGTCCCATTAGTTATTGAAAAAAGGGCACAGGGAGTTCTAGTGGCCTTCACTTTGGCTCAGAGTTTGGAATATAAGACCAATATACAGTACATGTAGACAGAAAATTCCCTATTCTGACATGTTTCAGTATTGCCTCCAAGAAGGACCAGTTAAAATTGTCAAAGGCCTTCTCTGCATCTGTTAAAAACAATATAAGTTTGTAAGTCTTAATTTGTGCTACATGGATACGGTCTATGGCCCAAGTGGTATTGCCACCTCACATGGTCAGAATGGATTAGATAATAAAAGCGTTGGGCAAATTTGATAGCTAGTATGTTTGAAAATAATTTCAGGCCAATATTTAGTAAAGAGATGGGTCATTATCTGACACCAATGGATCTAAACCTGAGCTAACAGGTTTAGATCCATTCCTTCTTTAGGATGGACTGTAATATGGGCTTCTAGAAGGTCTTGTACACCTGGTTCTACCCACATTGCAAGAGTTACAGTATCTGCTAGTTCATCTCTAAAGGGCAGGTAAAGCAATTGTACTCATCTGATCCTACTTCTCAGGCAAATAGTGTTCCCCTATGATCTAGCAGTAGACTATCCCTCAACATCCTCATATCTGATATAGGACTTTAGACCAAAAATGTCCAAAATGTATAGGGGAGAAGAAGCTTCAGGGACCACTCTAGGGATGTACAGTGCATACAATCCACCACCCACTCCAACGGTAATATCCTTGATCTTGTCTTCTCCAACCGCTGCGCTCCCCACAACCTCACTAACACCCCCTTCCCTCTCTCTGACCACAACCTGATTACCTTCTCTATCTCCTCGTCCTCCAACACCTACTCCTCCAAATGTCACACTACTACCAGCCGTAACCTCCGCAACCTCAACCCTGCCCCCCTCCACTCTGCAGCTGATCAACTCCACGACAGCATCCTACCCCTGTCCTGCCTCGAAATGGCTATGACTGCCTACAACAACGCGCTGTCAACAGCCCTTGACTCACTAGCACCTTTAACCACACGGAACATTAGACCCCGACCGCTCCAGCCCTGGCAGACTGATCACACCAATACCCTCAAATGACACAGTCGTGCCCTGGAGCGACTATGGCGCAAAACCAAATCCCAACAGACCTTCACCCGCTACAAATCTGCCTTCCACACCTACACCTCCTCCCTCACCCGCCGCCTATGCTCTCAACTCAACGACAACCACCTCCTAGATCCCCTACAGTCCGGCTTCCGTCCCCTACATTCCACCGAAACTGCCTTACTCAAACTCTCTGACTCCAACCTTCAACCTATCCTTCCAGCTCCAAGTCCAATCTTTAACAAACTCGTGCAGACTCCACCTCACCAACATCGCCAAAATCCGCACGTTCCTAACTCCAGAAACCACTAAACAGCTCATCCACTCCCTCATCATATCACGACTCGACTACTGCAACTCCCTCCTCACTGGCCTGCCTCGCCGCTGGTTATCCCCGCTTCAGTCGATCCTGAATACGGCTGCCAGACTCATTCACCTTTCCAACCGCTCCGTTTCCGCCACCCCCCTCTGCCAATCCATCCACTGGCTTCCGATTGTGCAACGGATCAAATTCAAAATCCTAACACTGACGTACAAAGCTGTCCACCATACTGCCCTGAACTACATCACCGACCTAATATCCAAGTACCACCCAACGCGCACACTCCGCTCCTCACAAGACCTCCTTCTCTCTAGTTCCCTGGTCTCCTCCTCTCATGCTCGCCTCCAGACTTCTCCAGGGTGTCACCCATCCTCTGGAACTCCCTGCCCCAACCCATCAGATTATCACCTACTCTCCTCTCCTTTAGGCGCACCCTGAAAACCCATCTCTTCAGGGAAACCTACCCCACCCCCTGCTAACTTGCCGACCTCCTCCACTCTTCCTACCACTCCATCCCCCACAGCTATCTCATCCTTTACCACCATCCCCTCCCTCCTAGATTGTAAGCTCCAAGGAGCAGGGCCCTCAATCCCCTCATGTTTTGCATTGTATTGGTATTGTACTGTCACATGTTCTGTCCTTCTTTGTAATGTACAGCGCTGAGCGAACTATTGGCGCTTTATAAATACTGTATAATAATAATAATAATAATAATAGTGATGTGAAAGAACTCCTTCATTCAGTCCTCTAGACACAAATGAGCAGTGAACCCTTGAAATGCAGGAACTGTGAGGGAGGACCTTAAGGCTGGCCATACATTATACAATTATCTGCAGATTTTTGGTTTAGATTTACCAAAAAACATATAATAGGAGGACAAACCTAAACAACACTTTCAGTTGTATCCAATTAGGCAGGCCCTTGCACTACATAGTTGAAGGTAAATCTAAAGGAAATTGGGCAGAAAATCTGCAGATAATTGTATAATGTATGGCCAGCCTTAGTTTCCCACTTTAAAAATATGTAAGTATTTGAATGCACACATTTCTAATTAAATTGTACAAATTGAACATAAATAACTTTAGCATAAAAATACAATGAGCATTACCTCTTAAAGTTTGATTCAAGATGGAAATGTAAAACTCGATGAGTCAAATATTATGATAATATTTATTATATATTTCTAAGTTCTGCAAGCTTTATTTTTGCCACTGTATATAACTGCATAGGACAGTATGGATATCCCGATACCTCAGGCTGTATATGATGGGATTGAACAATGGTGTTACTACAGTAAATATAACTGATAACATTTTGTTATTGACTATGGAATGTCCTCTTACTGGAGTACAGTAAACGATTAACCCGGCTCCATAAAACAAACCCACCACCAAGAGGTGAGTGCTACAAGTTGAAAAAGCTTTCTTCCTACTTCCAGTAGGCATTCTAAGGATGACTACAGAAATAAAAGCATAACTTACAACAGTTAATAGAAATGGTACAGCAAGTATAGGGACTGATAGAACAAATATATAGATTTGCAGACTAGAAGTATCAGAACAAGCTATATCCACGTAAGGAGCAACATCGCAGAAGTAATGATCAATGACGTTGCAACCACAGAACTTGAGTAAAACCACAAAGATCATTGCGGTGAACGTCAAAAGGAAAGCAAACGTCCAGCAAAAGATAACAAGATAATACGGAAGGGTATGGCTCATTATCGCATTATAGTGTAAAGGTTTACATATGGCCAAGTATCGATCATAGGACATTACTGTGAGAAGATAACACTCAGAAGCACCTGAAGACATATAGAAGAAGCTCTGAGTGAAGCATCCAGTGACAGATACATTGGCCCCATCCATCCATAAGATATGTAACATATTAGGGACGATGACAGTCACTAAACATATTTCTGAAAATAAGAAATGTGTGAGGAACAAGTAAATGGGGGATTGTAGACTCTTTCTGGTTGACACAAATATTATAATCATAATATCGAGGAACATGGTCACGGTATATGCAGACAATATAGGAATAAAGAGAAGAAACCTGAGTCTACCAAGTCCAGGGAACCCCAGAAAAAAGAATGTGTTCACTGTTGTCCAATTTTCTTTATTCATGTTCATTTTTGTGACTGTAAAGACAGAGAAAATATAAAGATATACACTGCTTGTTCTCTATTTTTGCAAAGCATCACAGTGGCTAAATAGTTAGCACTTCCACCTGGCAGTACTTGGGTCACTGGTTCAAATCCCAACCATGGCACCTACTGCCTAGAGTTTGCATGTTCTCCCTGTGACTGCGTGGGTTTCCTCCCACACTCCAAAGACATGCCAGCAGGTGAATTGGCTCCTGTCTAAATTGTCCCTAGTATGTGTATGTATGAATGTGAGTTAGGGACCTTAGATTGTACACTCCTTGAGGGTTAGGGACCTTAGATTGTACACCCCTTAAGGGTTAGGGACCTTAGATTGTATGCCCCTTGATGGTTAGGGACCTTATATTGTACGCCCCTTGAGGGTTAGGGACCTTAGATTGTACGCCCCTTGGGGGTTAGGGACCTTAGATTGTACGCCCCTTGAGGGTTAGGGACCTTAGATTGTACGCCCCTTGAGGGTTAGGGACCTTAGATTGTACGCCCCTTGAGGGTTAGGGACCTTAGATTGTACACCCCTTGAGGGTTAGGGACCTTAGATTGTACGCTCCTTGAGGGTTAGGGACCTTAGATTGTACGCCCCTTGAGGGTTAGGGACTGATGTAAATGTACAATATATATGTAAATTGACAGTACTATACAAGTACCTGAAATAAAGCGTTGATGTTGAAACTCTGAATACAAAGTATGTTATAGGTAGGGCTGAATATATTGTTTCTGCCTCTAGGTGATATGTCTTGTGCTACCCTCCCTCCTTCCCAAATTGACTGGTTACCCTTAGGAACCCTCTAACCAGGACAAATGTTATGGTCACAAATGATCCACCAGAACGAGAGGCAGATAGGCTGAAGATAACTTGCTTTCTTCTCCGTATGCTACACTAGGGTGGTTATAGGCATACACAGTGGTGTATTTAGGTTTCATGCTGCCCTAGGCAACACAAAAATTGACTCCTCCCCCATGGAGAGACCCTGACGCCGACCAACACCCCCCTCTCCCCCATGAAGAGAACCTGACATTGACCGACAACACCCCAGGCCCCCCAACCCTACCCGAGAGAGCCTTTAACTACCACCGCCCCCCATACACTGGCAAATGCCCCCCACCTCCGGTAAGATATAAGACACTCACCTTCACAGCTCTGGACATCCCCTGGAGTCAGGCTCTGCATACACCATTAACAGCCCGCTGCTTCTCTCGGATCCCCGTGCTGCCTGTGTCCCTTCTTATTTTCCTTGTTTCAGGGGATGGTACTGCCCCTCTGAAAAAAGCTGCTTCCCCCCTGAAAAATGCCGCCCTAGGCAAATGCCTTGTTTGCCTTGTGGTAAATACACCCCTGGGCATTCAGACCCAGAATGGGTGAACTGTGTGTATGAAATTCCACTGAAAAAACATATACAAACTGTACAGAGAATGGAAAAAGGAGGATCCAGCTAGACAGCACTGTTGGGAGGTGGTCTGGTAACTTTTATTATGCCCAAAAATATGTTATTGGCATTCAACATCATGATGTGTGGACAGGTATTATCAGCCCTCTCACCCAAAAACATCCAGCGGTGAGCGAACCAGATACTTTTAATACATGTCATTCTTCTCACACAAAGGCATAATAAAATGAAACAACACTTGCAATAAAAAAGGACATTTTAAAATATTTATTAGCAAAAATGCCTTGTCCTCTACGACATTTGAAGAAGGCTTGGCCTCATATTTGATTCATTGATTGTTTCTGAAATTCAGAATGCACGTGTAAGATGATGAACTCTTTATTAAGTAAGACTGAAACACTTTTTTGTGAATATGTTTTTCTCTCATTTATGTTTTTGTGATACATTTTTGATACATATAGAGACCATTTAATTTTGTAACTTTAACTAAGATGATCTAGTAATGCATTAAGTATAGTCATTTATTTAGGGAGAATTTTGCACCGACCTGCATTAATTTCAAGTACCCAATTAGAGCTAGAGAAATTAGAAAGAAAACATTTTTGAATGTTCATAGGTCATCTAGAGCAAACCTGGCTTTGGATAGAGGCAGCAAGAGTATTAACCCTGTGAATTTTTTTGCTCCCCACCATGGAGGTTCACTCTCTCTATTTTCTCTGTTGACCTCTCTCTCTCTCTAGAACTGAAATCCAAAATCTGAGTTGTGGGGAAATCTTCAAATGGGTACTCTTGTTCTGTTGACAACCAAACATTATAGTTTATTACACAAATCACCTTGCCTTTTGGTAAAAAAAAAAAATATTTTTTTTTTTACCTGACTTATCATTAAAGAAAAAATATTGATTAAAGGTTAAATCTGATACAATCAATACTAATGGAGATCATTGTAATAAACCTAACTGCTGTCAATAGCTTTTTTCCGTGAACACTATGCAGTATATAAAATCAATGTAACAGACCTGACAATAGGAATAGGTAGAGTTAAAGTAGCTTAGGGATGTGAAAATAACAACAACAACAAAAAATTATTTACGTTTTGACTCTGCTTATGAAATCTGAGGAAAGGGGATACAACAAAAGTGAAAAGTATAAGATTGTTGACCTGGGTACCAAATAAAAAAATGTTCTGAATTAAAAAGTAAAAGAAAAATAGAAATAACAAAAAATATGCACAAGACTGAGTTCCAAGCATCCTCTTCTCTTTTATTTTCTATTGTACTAATATATTAACGTTCATGAAGCTTTTATATCTTTGTAAATATTTAGAACAAAGATGACTACATTTCCATTGAGTGCAATTATACACTTTGGAGATTCTACAATTTAAATTTAATGAATACGTTTAATATATTTGAATTTTCTGTGGGATTTTGAAACTAGTTTAGATTCTAAGCACTTAGGTTTACCTTTTCTTACTAAAAACACACCAAAGTCACAATGAAAAGCTTTAAGGTTTGCATATGGTCAAGTAGAGGTCACAGGAGTGATGAAATAACCTTCATGTACATGAAGACATGACCAAGTGAGTGGAGGTTCTTCCAGTGGAGCATTCTTCCCGGGGACCAGCATACTAATGTACCACAATCTATAGATTCAGTAATTATTAGAAGAAATATGATTATTTCCCTCAGCCCAGAAAGTTAATTTAACTGTTCCTCCATTTTAAGGAGGTTGAGAAAGGCTGATCAAGTCAGAGATATATTGGCCTATCCAGTAGTGAAATTCAGCAAGAGGCAGTGACATTTGGGCTCCAATTATTACTATTGTAAGATCAAGTAACGTATACATTATATAAAACATAATGAATAAATAATTGCTGCGCCACCCCCTTTAATTAAATATCAATAATATACTTCCCTGTGCATACACACTTGTATATGAGAGATAAACATAAGACATAATAACAGTACTAGAAACTGTGATAAATATACTTCTACATGCAAAAGCAATTTTATACAAAGTGTCCAAAGAGCAATATAAAATACTCTAATAGTATATTAAAATATCCTCTTGTTATATGTTTTCAGTCTCCCAAGACTCAAAATACAAAAACTTCCCATATTCTTCTTCTATCTTATCTCTCGTGCTCAGTCAAGATCAAACGTGATGATTCCCACCACCGTTCACCAATGTGCTCACCACTGGTACCACTGATGAAGTCACTTTACATGATGATAGACTTGCGAGCGGAACCGGGTGACTGAGTACCAAGTCTGGAAGTGACGTGGGAGCCGCTGCCATGCTGTCCTTACATTTTATGCTTTGCTTTTTATATTGGAAGTAAGCACAATTTTTATTAACCTCCCTGGCGGTATGATTATTTCCGATTTTTTGTGCTGAAAGCGGTACATTTTTTTGCATGGAAATATGTAGTTTTTTTTATTGTAGGCCTGTAATTCTTAGGAATAACCCACTGAAATCTGTCCGGACAAGAGTCTAGTAAACATCCCGGGTATGATAAAACTTGAAACACGAAATCATAAATTATAATATAATAAATAATCATAAAAAATAATAATATAATAAATGTAATTAAATAATGTAATCAAACCAAAAACACTGAAATGTGAAATAGAGCGCCAAGTTCGCACATCGCTGAGCTCAGTCGCAGAATCGTTTTCAGTGTCTGATGAGGAATTTCCCCCACAAATCATTATCACTCAATTCTGCAAGTGGTTCTGATTTACTATCGCTGTTCTCTAGCCGGTCTAAAACCGCTTTTGACCTAAAGGGGCGCTTTTTGGACGCCATGGACGTTTCTCAGTTTCCAGGCAGAAAGAACGGTAAAAATGCAGGCAGGGCGCCGGACAAAGCACTCGGGACAAAATGTATGTGAAATGGTTTGATACAGGAATGTTATACTATGTGATTTTAGTGTATTGAGTGACTGTCACATTTTTGCATTTTTTAATTTTCCGCCGGATCCGTCCCCCGTACGTCCCGACACTCGCAGGGAACGGAAGACGGATGCCGGAATCGGCCGGAGGAGATGGCCGGGGACACTGCAGAGGGGACATCGCGGGACAAGGTAAGTGCTGGAGGGATCCCGGAGCAACGCTGCAGTGTATTCCCGAGTGTAGCTCGGGGTTACCGCTTTTGGTACTGAAACTTAACCCCGAGCTACACTCAGGAATACCGCCAGGTGGTTTAAGCAGGTTGAGAAAGGCTGATCTAGTCAGCGATATATTGGCCTAGCCAGCAGTGGACAAAGTCAGCAAGGGTCAGTGACATTCAGGCTCCAATTATTACTATTGTAAGATCAAGTAACGTATACATAATATTAGAATGAATAAATAATTGCTGGGCCACCCCCCTAAATAAATATCAATAATATACTTCCCTGTGCATACACACTTGTATATGAGAGATAAACATAAGACATAATAACAGTACTAGAAACCGTGATTAATATACTTCTACGTGCAAAAACAATTCAATATAAAGTGTCCACTTAGCAATATAAAATACTCCAATAGTATATTAAAATATCTTCTTGTAATGTGTTTTCAGTCTCTCA